CCTTCGCATTTTTTTAAGTTTTTCTTTTTCCCGGATGTATTGCACGTTCTTTGTAAAATTTGAGTTTTCATACGCTTAATTTTACAGATTGTTGCTTTCGATACTCCATATTTTTTGCTAACTGTGTCACTCCCACACCTAGTGCAACTTCGTCTATGATTTTCACTTTCTCACTCAACTTTAAACACTTTCTTTCATAGGATGTGGATGCCATAGTCGTAAAATATATTAGCGCGTGCAATGTATTCACTCAAGTTCAAAAATGAAATACATACGTACGTATAAACGTATCCTAAACGATCTTACGACTGACCGAGTTTGTCGTATTTTATCGCAGAGGTGAATCCCCTACACTCTACATCATAAATCGGGGACTCCCCGACGCCCGACAGTCATCGAGGCTTCAGCATTTTACCGTCGCGCTGTTTTCGTGCGCCGAGAGTTGTTTACGTTATCGTTAATCCTATAGAACGAAGTTTGTGTTTACATTAGCGCAAGTTTTCATTATCCCGTGTTTACGTTATCGAGCGTCTGCTGTATTTCCAAAACATACTTTATGAGCTCATCATCAGCTTTTTCTATGGACGAAAATCGTTATTCTTAACGTACTGGAACAAAAATAAGTCATTGGGTGCCAAGTCGGGACTGTATGGAGGATGGCCCATTAAATCAATATTCTGAGTGCTCAAATAGTCCATTGTTTCACGAGAGACGTGAGAGCTCGCATTGTCTTGATGAAGAATGATCCGTCGCCGCTTGTTGGTTTGCCTTGTCACCGAAGACGTAAACAAACAGTTGTGTACCATTCAGAATTAACTATTTTACGTTCCTCTAAAGATACTGGTAAAACGGTCAACCATTTGTCTCGAAGTGCTTCGTGCGCGAGGAACCTTTGTCGGGTTTGGCTTGTCTTGAAACTCCCATACAATCGACTGCTGTTTCCTTTCCGGCTCATAAGCATAGATCCATGATTCATCACCTGTTTGTTATACACGTCTTTCGAAGCACCGCCGTTGTATTTTTCGAGCATCTGTTTGCACCAATCGACACGAGCCTCTTTTTGAGCTGTTGTCAAATTATGTGGAATCCAACGCGAACAGACCTTTTTCACAACTGAGGAGCAGACTTGCAAATTGCATTTTGTCCATTTTTACCAATTTTCAGGAGAAGCAAAAAACCAGTACAGAAAAGCTAACCATGACAGAAAATTTTGTTCTGGATAATATAATGCTATCAGGTGTATCGACCTCAATCACAAGTTTTGGTACAAGAAAGTCGAAAAACAAGTTGAAAAAATTGAAAAAATTGTTGGACAGAATGCAGTTTGATTGTCTCTAGTGGACAAAATGCAATTTAAATGTCATTGTCAAGTTAACAATAATAAAAAATTTGGTTTTATTTAAAAAAAGGTGTATATTGAAACAACAAAACAAAATTTGTAAGTATTACAATAATATTAGGAGTAAACAATTTTATTTTTAAAGGAATTCATTATCATCATTCTCAGCGCATCCACAAGCTTCTTCGTCATTTTCGTGCTCTTCATCGTCATCATTACAGTTTGCCACAGTTTTCTCAAATATTTCAGCCATCCATTTCAGCTGCGGGTCTGTTTCATACCATTTGTCACCAGACAATGAAACAAGTAGGTTTTTTAGACTATCAAGCTTTTTCTGCTTTACTTCATGTCCAAGTCGTACTTTAGGAAGTTCAATTTGATCCAACCGCTTTTTAGGTTTCAACAAAGTTTGGAATTTTTTCGCTGGATCATCCGTTCGATACAGCAATTCAGATTTCACCACAACGCCTGAGGGCTTTCCCCGTTTGATGATTATTCTTTTACTTGAACTAATTCCTAGGACTTTTTTCAAACAGATGGAAGCTTCTTTTATATTCACCAATGACCAATCAGTTCCAAGTTTTCTGATTTCACCTACTTGTTTGTAGAGTTCCCAATATTTTTCAGGTGTTTTTATGACCGCGTGTCGTCTTAAAATCTTTTCCACCCTCCCAAAAATTCTATCTGCCGGAAGATAAGAGTGTCCTCGCACTGGGAAGATAACTTCTATTTTTTTAATTGTTTCTGGAGCAAAGCGGTGTAACCATAACATTAGCATGTGGATGGTAAAGCTATTTTTATTTTGCCCCCCGCATCCATCGGAGAAGAGCCGAAGAGTGTCTATATTCGGGGAAAAATTGGTCTTTTTCAAAAAATCAAGCAGGGCGGAAGATATTTCTGTCGCTCCCCTGCCAGCTTGGTGTTCCATCCATGAATAAAAAACAGGGTTTTTACAGTTTGTGGCTGTAACGCAAAAAAAGTAAAATGACAGCTGCTGTGCATAAAAAGCATCTTGTATGGGAACTTTTGGGAGAACCTGCACTTGTTGCAAGTCAAAACAAAAAGACACTGAGTTAGGAGATGCTTCTTTCATCATTTTATGGAACTGAGATGCTCTAACCTTGTGAACTTTTAACTGGGTCTCAAGTTGGCCTTTATCGATAATATTCCTCGCATTACCGATTTGCGTTGCTGTTTTAACACAAAAATTACATACATCTGTAGCCGGGCTACCAAAGCCTATGTTGAAGTGATTACTGAAGACCCTGCTAAAGTATTTATAATTTACTTTTTTTTCATTAGTCACTTTTTCATTATAGAAGTTGCAAAGTTTAGCAATGGTGTATTCGGCAGACAAGTAGATTCTTCTTGATTTAGAACGGCTGTAGTGACTTTCTTTCCCTTTCAGGTTGCTTATAAACTTTTTCACCTCATTTAATTTGTTGATAAATTTGTGAGATTTTCTATCGCCTCCTCTTTTTTCAGTAAGACTTGATCCCATTTTTATTTTCTGACATATTGTGTTTATTCGCCTTTGAGACACGCTGAACATAGCTCTAAATAGTTTCTGGCAAATTTGTTTTTTATCACCTTCAAAAAATATCTGAAAAAAAACGAGAGTAAGTCACAGTTTAAAATACATTTCAGATGGTTATACTTACGAAATAATTTACGGAAAAATTATGGGACTTTCCATTTTCTTTGCGACTTCGTTTTCGTTTTGGCTCCTTAATCTCCATGTAGCTTGCAAGCAAGTTGTCCTGCGTAATTTTGTTAGGACTCTCGAAAAAGGTTTGGCGGATTTTCAGCATAGCTCCTTTCGATAATTCTTCGCAATCAAGATTAGAATTTTTATGATTACAAACTACGTTGAAATTGTCTAGATTGATGTCCAAATTGGAATACCTTAAAAGTGAAACGGAAAATAATAAAATATTTTAGGCTTATAACCTAACAAATACCTTATTTGTTTTTTTCTCTCACGGCTTGTTGTATTCCTTTTTCTTTTCCTACTACCCCTATCCACACTATCACCAACAATATGCTCCCCTTCTAACTGTTCCATTTTGATCCAAAAGCAACACTACTTCAATGTTTTAACAATTAAAACTTGAAAAAGTCTCCAAGGTAACACCGAACTATAACAACAGATTCTGATAAAATAAACAAAAACCCCATCAAAATGCATTTTGTCAACGTTTATGGACAAAATGCACTTTGAAAGTACCATGTGAGTGGACTTAACTCAGTTTGTTTGTCTAGGTATAATTTTCCCCTCAATAACACGGGGACTAAATACATTTTGACTGTTCAAATGTTTAAAAAAAGATAGTATTTCATCATAGGAATGCAGCGCCACCTGTATCTCAAATATGGAAAATTTGGACAAAATGCATTTTGCAAGTCTGCTCCTCAACTAAATGATCATGTAATATTTTATGTATGCTAGTGGAACTATTGCCTAAGGCTGCCTGAATCTCACAATATGTCACATGACCATCTTGCATTATTAGTTTTTGTACAGCATCAATGTTTTCTGGCACAACAATTGATTTTGGACGTCCTTCACGACTTTCGACACCAAGAGAGTGGCGGTCACGATTAAATTCGTTACACCATCGTTTCACAGTGGCACAGGATGAGGCTTCATCACCAAAAGTCGAAGTAAGTTGATCGATACATTTCTGCCATAATAATCCACGTCGCAAGTCGTAATAGATCATCGCACGAAAAGTTTCACGAGTCAACGCCATTTTTTCGCTGCATAACATAAATTGTGCTGAAATGACAAAACGTTCTGAAAAAGCTTATGTTTGAAAATGTCAAACTTGCAATTTCAAGCGTAGTAAGTCATCAAAACGTTTGTTTTCACCATTTCCGTGATTGTTACAGCTACGGTTATCGATATAATCTGGCAAGCGAACTCTAAACATAGATGGTACTAGTTAGGTTGGCGATCATGTCTAAGGTTATGAACAAAGATGTCATTTATTGCTGTTCAGCTGTCCACGAAAAAGTAGACATTGCTGCCATTGCTCCACTCTAGCGTTTTTTATTTATCAAACCTAACAGGTATGGTTCAGCGGTTTTTATGGTTGGTCGTATATCATCTATTAATAAGGGCTTGGTTTTTTATGTTTCAATTAGGATTAAAAATACCACAGTATAATTTGTCCTTATAAGATGGAGGTTCATGATCAAGCAGTTCTGTAGTGACTTAATGGGATTTCAGGATAGAATTTTTGTGATTCAAATTCTACTCTACTTCTAAGTATTGGGTAGGCTCTACCAGAAAATCCGGAAGTTACTTCTTGTTGCAATCCTGGTTTGTTAGGTCTTTATATTATTTTATTTTTACACATTTATTAGAAATGATGTGGACCTGTAACCTTATATTAGTGAGTGAGGATTTATAAAGGCCTATACGAGAGTGATAAGTGTGTGCAAATATTAGTAGGTTTTTTATACATAATGTTTATTTATACATTTTTAATGTTGTTGCTTTGTGAAATACTCTTCCCTAAATAAATATGCATTTCACATCTATTATTTTATACATATAGTCATTATATTGATCGAAATCTTACACAAACAGAAGTATAATTACACATTAAAAAGCATATCATTCAAAATATGGATAAATCAAAAAAGACACTATATGCGAGTATATTAGATTATTTATCGTTATAAAATAGAATTAGCTGTGATATAACATGTAAAATTTTATTTTAGTTTATACTTTGTTAATTCGCAAATAAAAATAAACATTTATAAATTTTACACAGTCGTTTTAATTATGAAATAACATACATATATACACAGTACATAAATCGTTCTTTCACATATCAAATATATAAAGGTGAGACCTATATAGAATACTACAGGTGTAATCACAAAAATGTAGGATATACTTATGTTTGCGTAAAAACAAATGTCTGTATATCTTACTTCATTCATGTAAATGTAATTTTTTCAACAGAAAATGTGAGAAAAATAAATTTTCAACTTATACCACTTAGAGAACGGCAATACAATTTTTCAATGTATTTACCAAACACAAATGAAATTACTCCATTTATGTAAATGAGATTTTTTCAATAGAAAATGTGAGAAAAACAAATTTAAAGCACTTAGAGGGAAGGCAATACAATTTTTCAATGTATTTACCAACCACTGATGAAATTACTCCATTCATGTAAATGCGAGTTTTTTCAATAGAAAATATGAGAAAAATAAATTTTCAGCATATATCACGCAGAGGATGGTAATACAATTTTTCAATGTAATTACCAACTACAAATGAAGCACTTATATAATAATTTTCTCAATTTCCTCACAATAACTACATTTATATGTCTCAGTTTCTGCCCATGTGCCTTTTACATTTCCTCATAACACTATGTTAGTCAATATAAAGAATAAAAAACCTAATAAATGCCATGTCAAAAGTAATAACCCAACATTTGATGCAAATTACTAATTTAATATCCATGTAAACTTTCTAACTCAAAGTGCTTCCTTTCATATTGATACTTGTGATAATTGTAGTCTCTTTCATCTGTATTCCATGCGATGTACATGTACATTGTCAAGATATTTGCCAACAAAAGTCGATCGAGGCTGAAAAAAATTGACTTTAAATAAGATCGGTAAAGGACATACATTGTATTGAAAAAAAAATTACAGATTCAAAAAGCCTTGCCTACAACACAAACTGTGAAATCATAGTTATAGCATTTCAAGAAAAAAAAAAAGATATTTACCTCATCACTGGGTAGAGCCAAAAAATTAGTAAAAATGCTAAAAAACTAGGATGTCTCATATGAGAAGTGAGCCTTTTCAGCTGTGCAGATTTCCTCAAATTTGGATCAGGTAAGTTAAAAACACTGATATACCTGAAAAGATAGACACATTCAGAGAATATATTACAGCTAAGACCAGCATTGTCTGGAGGGATCTTCAGGGGAAGCACAATTCCTGAATTGCTTGAAAAATACATTTTCTAGACTATGTAGCCATGTTTTGAATCATTGCAGCCATGGACCGTGAGGCAACTGTCTCAGCTTGGAACCAGATTACAGCAATATATGTTCAACTGTTGCTGCATTCAAATATGTATATGGTAAGGTTCAAATTTTGCTGGCATCATAATATGCTAGCCAAAGAGGTACTCTTTCTAACACTGTATACAGTGGTATTGGTTTTCACTGTATATATTATGAATTTTAATATTGTAAACACTTACCTGCTTAATACCAAGTAGTTCAGTAACATCAGTGCATATATTTCCAATATAAATGATTACCCAGGAAAGAAAATGGATACCAGCATAGACCCACCATAAAGGCTTGTAATGCAAGTTTAGCTGCCAGAGTATTGTATCTGGGGTAGTTTGCCAATGTCTCATCAAAAACTGAAATGAAATATAGCAAGAATTCTGTTTTTTCTCGTTTCTTGATTGTAAGACCTGTTATTTTAAATATATAAGCAAATGTCAGACCAATACCAAGGATTATTAACTAGTTTGGATTATTAACAATTTGATAAAAACTTGCTAGCCAAAAATTATTTGTTCTTACCAATAATATTCCTGCAGTTGTGATGACATACAAACTTCGATAAATCATCTTCATTCCATAGACCTCAAATGCATCTTTAATCTTTAGGGATGCCAGTAATGAGTGTTGTAAAATAAACAAGCTTACAAGAGCAGTATTAGTCAATAGAGCCCATGAGGTCTTTAACCAACGATCTGGAATATAAAGGGTTTTAATTTGTATGAACTTTCATGCTTTACTAGTCATGCTTTACCTCTTGATTTTCTTTCTAATTTCTCATAATCTGGCACTGACAAAAAGTATGTCAACTCAATGACCATATAAAAAGTCGTAACTACACCAAAACTGCATAATACGATTTTGAATAAATCAAACAGTCGCTGGCCTATTGTTTTGGAAGATGGCATTTTTTATTATATTTTTTAAATAGCCTGATTTTCCAAAATATGTGTGATGTCAGAGATGATGTAAGAAAAAAATAAACAAACAGCCCCAACCTAACCTCAAACAGCAAAAACGTCGTCAGTCCAATGCGTCAGACTGATCAGCAAGTGACATTTCTGTGTTAGTCTGCAACGTTGACAATAATGAATCTAGTAAGACTTGTTTGTAGGTTTTGTTTCTTGTAAGCAAATTTAACTGAGTAAATGAGCTGTTATAAAGTACAAAATTAGAGATGATCTTAGCAGCGACTTGCAAGTCGCCGGGATAACGGTGACAGCGACCTTAAAGTCGCCGGTAGATTTAGCAGCGCTTTAGGTCACTGCTTATCTATGGTCGCTGCCAGCAGCCAGCGACTCCCTGGCGCTGATTAAATTACTCGATATTTGGCGGCGGTTATCCATTGATATTAAGGAGGTGTAGATGTTCAGGTTCCTGAAGATTTGCATTAAACTATATTTAAGGTTTTTGTTTTTAACAATATTGAGCACAAAACACATAAAATCATAAAAATACATAAAATATCTTTCTATGAATCTTAAAAAGTAAAACAAAATACTATTTTACCAGTCAAAATAAAACTTTTAAAACATAACAAATGTAGTATAAAAATGCTTCTTTTATATGTTAAACATTGCTTAATAAACGAAACATTTTTCTATGAAACAGGAACTCACAACAATAACAATAAAAACTAACAAAACAGGTTAGGCTACGCTGTAGCGACCTTGTACTTCCCGCGCGATGATCTCGAACACGATGTGTATATGCTTCCTGGCAGCGACCGCGACCGAAACAGCGCTACAGCTACCGATCAGTGGTTACCGATACCGATACTTCCAAACAGCGATCTGGGTCGCTGCTTCATGGAGAATCCGGTCGCCGGGACTAACGGCGACCATTCAAGTCACCGGGAAAGGTCGCCGGTACCGATATATCGATCATATCTATACAAAATAAATCTGTAGCGTACAAAAAACCAAAACAAAATACGGCTCTGACCACCTACCTGACGTATCCGTCAGAATTATGTGTCCTGTCTGGTCCTGTCCCGATATCGGGAATTTTGAGATACTACCTACTAGTGATGCAAAGTTTCGTTACTTTTTAGGACTTGTAAGGACTCGTTACTTTCGAACTTTGGACTCGTTAGTTTAGTTACTATTTGGACATTTCGTTTAGAACCTACATTCTATATATTATATCAAATTATTACTTTGGGATTGATCTAATTATTATTTTTTGTCTAATGCCTTGCCTATTAATTTTTTTTATATTTGATACGTAGAAGGTACTTATATTTTAAACTCGTCGTTGTGTGACGTCTGGTTCGTTGGCTGTACGCTGTAAATAGTATTTAACAAGTGGCATAACCAGATGGGGACCGTGGAGGAACCACTCTCCTCACTCTTTACTTTAGTTGAGTAGCGTCTCCTGCCCTAACAGTCTGGTTACTCCCCTGCCCTACTTAACAGTCTGGTTACTCCACTGTAAATGGTGTTCAACAAAATACTTATAATAATAAAACATACCTGAAACTAAGTTCTTTTTGCACCTAGGCATATTTTCGTCTTCCACCCGCCGTTTTGCCCTTTCTCCTTCCAATGAAAGAGTCGGATGTTTAGTTTTCAAATGCTTCCTTAAATTGCTAATGTTTCCATTTTTATGCGAATAAATATTTTTACAAAGATTAGACTTTGCATTAGCTTCCAATATATTGGTGAAATGCATCCAAATAACACTTCTTTTTTGAGTTTGCGATTCTCCTGAACCGGACGCGGATGATTCCATATTTTTGTACAAATAATAATTATATTATTGCTCGAGCTTGTACGGCAACGTCCAAACCAGTAACAACCCGCCAACCGCTAGCTCTCAAAGTCAAATGAAAAGTGTACAGGTGTACACAAACATTGCCAACCTAAAGCTCCGCAGTCCGCAACTCGTTTGATAGAAGAGTATCTAAAGTTGCCTAAGCCTAACGATATTCGCATCATTTCATTTCCACCCTGTTTACATCCAAGAACCAAGTCACTTGCTGCTGGCGCTGGCAGTACTGGCTACATTAGATCCCAGTAACGTTTGTATCTAAAGTAATGTATAGTGTAGTAACTAACAGTAATTAAAAAGTATACATAGAAAAAGACCGTATCGCATTCAAAGTAACGAATTCAAATAAAAAGTAACGAGTCTTTTCAAAAAGTAGGACTCGTTACATTTAGTTACTCATTTGTAACGATTATTTTGTAAGCGTTACTTAATTATTTTACATCACTAACCGACAGTAGAAGGGTTTATCTCTGACCGACAGCAAACGTTCTTGGGGGGAAACGTCTTATGGGCGAAATGGCAACACCAAGGTCATCCGCTCCAGGAAAAATTAAGGTAACTGTACTACCGGCATCACGTGACGTGCGTAAACATATCAAATATGGTGTTTGTTTTGGTTAATATCTTGATTATCAACGCCGATGCTTTTGGAGATATTGGGTGATATGCATAAAGGTGAGTGGGTTCTCAGAAGTAGCGTCTCCATATTGTAGCGAGTAACTACTCGTGTTAGGGAGAGCCTACTCGGTTTTGATATGCATAAAATATTTGTCGAGAAACGGAGAGGCTACTAAAGTGCTAATGAAATACTTGAGTAGGCACTCTGGTTTTCGAGTTCCGACTTGTATTTTGTTGTCTCGCCGAATTGGCAATTTCTGTATTGCGAGCAGTTACCACTGTATACCGGTAAACGTTTGTGTCGGTGGTGTTTAGGTCGATTATTATTTGTTCATTTACATGACGTCAACCTATTCTGAAGACCATTCATCTGAAGATCAAACAGTATTTGTTAATATAATTAAGTACTATCCTGTTTTGTTGGAAAAATCGAACATCCCGGAAATCAAAAATAAACGACGTAAGGCGGTTGAAGAAATAAAAGAAAAGGTAGAAGCCCAATTAGGAGTTAAATATAATAAAGGGCAGATATGGAAGAAGGTTCAAAACATAAAAACCAGATTAAAAGCGAAGACAGACAGAAATCAAACCAATAAAATTGAAAGGATGGGAACAAGAACTGTTCAATTTTCTACAAGGAGAATCAAATCCTAGTATTGCTCGATTGCAATGTTAGTTATATTTTTTTGTTTTTCCATACAGTAGGTATAAGATGTGATTGAGTATAATATATATACATGTCAATAAATAAAAATAGCATATATTTTAAATTTTAGGTGCTGATTTGGCAGATTGCCCACAAAAAATGCGTTGATTACACTCCAACAGCCTGTGCTGAAGAAGAAACAATCACAGAAGAAGCATCTGGAAGTGCAGGACCAGTACTGAAAGCTACCACAATGAAAGCCGGACCCAGTAAGGAGCCTTCTAAAAAAAAGGAAAATGAGGATTAGTGGAAACCGATGAAACACGAGATTTATCAATAACAGAGCTCCAACGTCTCGTTTTACTTGAACAATTACAAGTGTTTCGGCTAGCTAAGGAACTGCTACTTCACAAGAAAAATATTAATGAATCTGATCCAAATTTATGAACTTTAAATGAAAGTGCAGAAACTGGAAATCCAATTTTCATGATCCTATTTCCAGGACAGAACTGACATAAATACTTAACTTACCATTTTGAAAGTGTTATTAATTTTGTTATGAGTGATTAAACATCGTTCTTCAACGTATATCTACATAATTTTTAAATTTGGATCATGCTAGACATTTACTTAGACCCGAAAGCCATGAATAATTCTTGACATTGCATCTCTTCTAAATTGACCTCTCTGACGTATCACTCCATCTGCATAGTCGGCAGTATGTTGGTTATGGATTTCTTCTTGTTCGCCATCTTCCGGTATATCAACAGCAAAATCTTCATCATTAAGGTGCTTTAGCCACATTATGCAAGATAAAACAACTCATGACAAGGGAGGGCACTTTTTCTGTATCGAAGCGTATTTTGTTATGTAGAATGGGAAAACGCTGTTTTAGTTGCCCGAAACATCTCTCTATTATAACTCGCTCTCTCGTAAACAGCCGATTGTATGATCTTTGTTCTGCTGTTTCTGCAATCCTAAAAGGAGTCATGAGCAAAGGAGCTATATCATACCCAGAGACTCCCAACAAAACAGCACTAGCCCTATTCAATTTCATAACGTTGTATATATCAGAATTCTTCCATATCCGAGAGTCGAGTACAAATCCTGGCCAAGAAACATCCACACTTGTGAACTCTTCGTTTGAATTGCACGTTGCTTGTATATTTATACTAGCAAAGTTCTTTCTGTTCACATAATTATTCGTCTGCATGAATAAACGGCTTCATAATAGGTATATCGGTGCAGTCGATAGCACCAATAGTTGAAGGAAAATTGAACTTTTCTTGCCACTTATTTTTAGCATTGTGTAGATCTTCACATGAGGTTGGGAATCTAATCCAAATATTCGACTTCTGCACAATGCGTGTTATAACGTTGGTAACGGTTCGGGATACCGTAGATTGATGGACACCAATACCGTCTCCTATGCCAATTTGAAATCCTGGATCACCCACATATCGTAAAAAAACCCTCATTCTTTCTATATTGCTCAAAGCACCGCCCCTATATTATTCTGTTTCTCCAAGAAAATAGTTACTTCTCCACTCAATATTAACTTTACTAAACCGATATAAGGCCCAATAGTCTACTTCCCTTGATTCCCTTCGATCTTTAAACACCTCTTCGTAGGCTGATAAATAGGCATGAACTGGGCCATTTCATGAAGACATCCACTTGTTATAAAGCTGAGTCTACTACTAAGGTATCTCGCATTTCTTTAAGTATGTACTCAGCGGTCGGAGTGGACGCTCGCTTTTATGCATATAAAAATTAAAGTCGGCACTCAAGGAGCGAGTACAGCCTCACGGAAAGAGTAGAAACTTATGAGTGTGAGCTTCTACTTACATTTTTATGCATATCAAATGGAGTGGCTACTTTAAAAATGCGAGTCGAAAGTAGCCACTCGCCTTTATGCATATCACCCAGTATTTCGTAAAAAATGAGCATAAGATATAAAGCAACACTATCAGGGGAAGTTCGCGAGATGTATTGTGACTATTGTGGAAGATGCAGCAATTCCGGAGACTCTGTCATGTCATAGAGTGCTACAGGTAGGCTGTGAACTCAACATATCGACTTGATGTATTTTTTAGATTATTTAAAATTGCATGTCGGGATTCAGCCTCTTTATAATCCTTGTAGTTGGCACCGTTATATAAAGTATAAAAGGCCAACCAATTAAAGGCATAGAACTGAGCAAACTAATTAAAGGTGACTAGCTTATTTATAAAGAGTTATGAATTACATTAGTGTTTTCTTTATTGTTTCAGAATTATCAAGAAGCGGAAGTGAAACACTTGTGTTTTGCGACACTCAACGTGAGCTTGACATAAATCTATCTGTATTTTCATGTAATACAATTTTTATACCATTGTCAATAGCATATGAATATTTTTTGATACTAAATAAATTTGGTGCTTCATAATTAGGGATGGATTTTATTATTCTGAACCTTTCTCTCTGCAAAACTGCTGAAAGAGATATCACCCTTATTAGGGATATTTTTTTGATTATATTTTCATGAAATAATCTTTCAATATCGGAAATATCATTTTCAGCAGATTTTAAATTATGAACAGACGAAATCTCAGTCACATTCCTAGCATTCCTTATTCCAGGTGCATTCTTAGCACTCTTCCGATAGTTCCTCCAGATCTCTGGCAAGTAGGCGGTGCAACCATATGACAAACGTCAACGGTGTTGCCATTGTTTAACGTTATGTTTTGTGTTTCTTTCTTTAGACCACGTGGTGTCGATCCTGGCTGGATCTACAGAATAGCAGCTGTAAGACTGTCAACAAAAAAGGCGTGGGGGTAACGTGTCAAATGTCATTTGTGCCTTGTGCTTTGTGAGGTTATTTTTTTCCGAAAAACTTCAAAGTAGAATTTTTCTGTTGCTATATTAAAAAATACGTTCTTATTAATGCTATTATAGGTACTGTTTAAAGTATACATGTACTTCATTTATAATATAAGTGTTTTATATTACAGGATGTCGTTCAGCAAGACTAAACGCTTGTTTTTGGGTTTAGGTGCACTTTCTGGAGCTGCTACATTTTATTATTTAAATAATTTTAAGCAGAAAGCTCATGCTTCTTGGACAACGAATTATATACCTTCATCATATGCAAAGTGGGATGATAACTGGGACCAGTAAGTACCCACATACTTATTATTTCCACAAACTAATCTCATCTCTTCTAGTCGAGCCCCAGAAGTCCTAGTGAAACCCAAAGGTAATTTGTCAGCCAAAGAAGAGAACGAATTAAATGAGAAAATAGAAAAACAAAAATCTAGGGCTGTGAGGCATATCATTTTGATAAGACATGGACAGTATGTATATGGTGAAACTGATAAGGATATGATGCTAACAGAGTTAGGTATGTGAAGGTATTATTGAATTACATAAAAATTATAAAAGCATTTCATAACACCTAGTATACAGTGTAATTAAAAATATTCACCTATTCTTGATTTGTTAATAAAAGATGGTATATGGTGTGGTAACTGAAAAGATGTATGAGAAAACTATGAAGTAGTGATTGTTATATTATTATTTTTTCAGGAAGAATCCAGGCAGATTATTCCGGAAAAAGATTAAAAGAATTAGGGTTCCCATATACAAATATAATCAAATCTACAATGACTAGGGCACAAGAGACTGGTAACATTATATCAGAATCATTGCCAGAAGTAAGTAGCATACAATTATTCTGAAGATAATAATAATGTGTCTTTATTTTCATTCATTTGCTGAGTGAGGTGGCATTCACCACCATTGCTTTTCCATGCAACCCTCAGATATGACATATAGAATTAATTTGTTATTAACTTTGGCACTGGTTTATACCATTCTTTTATACTGTAACAAATATCTTTTCTTGCAGGTTGAGGTTATAAACTGTGATCTAATAAGGGAAGGTGCTCCTATACCTCCAGATCCTCCTATTGGAAGTTGGAAACCAGAGCGTTATGTCAGTATAATATTAAGTGTCATTGAGTTTTGGGCTAACACTAGCAATTCTTAGTTTTTATGTATAGTGATTATCACTCTAAATATTTTGTTTCAAGCTGCAAACTAGGTTATATGGTTAACAATATATCAGTATCTATGTTTGCAAATTGTTAAAATATAATATGTGGTTTGTTCTAGAAGTTTTATCAAGATGGCTCCAGAATTGAGGCTGGTTTCAGAAAGTATTTTCATAGAGCAGATCCCTGTCAAGAAAAAGATAGCTATCATATATTAGTTTGTCATGCAAATGTCATCAGATATTTTGTATGTAGGTAAGTGATTTGCTACTGCCAAGAAAAAATCAATATGTTCCACAACACATTTTTTATATTCTAAACTAAAAAGAACAAATGTAATTTAGATCTCTTAAACTTTGTAAGCAGTTTTTTCTTAATCTAAGCATCCTTACCACTATGTAGAGTGTCTGTATATCTTCCAAATTCTTGGATTTTCACTCTATTTAATTTTTCTGTGTGATTATAAGTAGTTTTCAATTTGTGTTACAACTCAAGAAAAAAGCACAAATTCTCTATTGTCTCGCAAAGCTTTCTGTGCCTTTTTTAATAAATTCAAGCAAGATGAGTATTTCACCATGTAATGATAAAATAAACTCTAAAAAAATTTCAAGTTTAGAAGTTGTAGAATTCATTTTCATGGTCAACCATTGAAAAGGTTTCAAAACTCAACTATCAGTATTTCATATGTGTTATTCTACAAGTAGCAACACATTCGTATGATTCAAAAATGTTATCTGTATTTTTGTTTTCAGGGCCCTACAATTTCCAGCAGAAGCTTGGCTTCGATTATCTTTGAACCACGCCAGTATTACTTGGATCAGTATTACCCTAGTGGCAGATGTATTTTAAGGGTATATGGAGACACAGGTCATATGCCGCCAAATATCATAACTAGTCGTTGATATCCTTATTTTTACTATTTGAAACAATCAACAAATTTAGCACAAAATTTTGAATGTTCTTGACAGATACATCTGTATTAACCAAATCATTGAAGATTGATCAAAACTGATTTAATATGTCATAATACAAATATTGGTAGCAAGAGTTTGGTATTTTGAATCTTTAATGCACAGTAACATTAGGTGACATATCAACTTTTAAATTTACAAGTAATATGCTGCAGTAAAAACCAGTCAAGAGCCTATTGTGTTTCATGGTTGTGGGCACACAGTGTGCTCAATAGTTAGCATTCTTTTCTGCAGTTATTCCTGTCAACAATTTGATCACTCCTTTTTAAATATACTTTATTACCAAAACACCTACACAAAAGTGCCCTTCATAGCTAAGATGTGGTGAACAGGTACCTATATTTAAGTGAAATATCTAAATGTTGCAAAGACCTGCAGGTCAGTTCAATGCCAATTTATTTTATGAATCTCTCAAGATTGTATGAATATTAGTTTAAGTACTTATAAAATGTTGAATCAATGTGTTAATCTTTAAGTCATAAAATACCTCGTTTAATATTAATTATTATGAAGTATTAAACAATATATGAAGAAAATTCTCAGTGTTTGTCTGGCCGCTAAATATGATAAGTGCCATTTATTAATAGTGAAATCTACTTATTACAAGTTGCTGAAGTAACACAATAATGCAGTAATGCAGTGTTGCCTTGTCATTATTGATTAGCTTAGTTCTAGATGCACATTCAATTTTATTTTATTGGCTTATTGAGTTAGCTCTAATAAAACATGTTTCATTAGTGGTAGCGGCAATTTAGGATTACTTTTTTCTGCTGTACTGCAAATTAATGAATTAAATATTAGTATGTTTCACTTTGAATATTGCTGTATTTTTAATGTGACTCAAAATAGATACTTTTTTTGTTTGTTAACTTTGGATTTCTTTTTTGTAAGTCTAAAAGCGTGTTTAATTTATAAAGACATTTTGTTCAATGTACTATGTTTAATAGGTAAAATGAATATATTCTCTTTACAAAACTAAATGAGAGTCCTTTTCATCTTTGCCATTTTTGTCCATGAAGTAGGATATCAGGTCTATTGGCAGTGGAAATATGATGGTCGAATTCTTCTCTGCTGATATATTGTTCAAAGTTTGGAGATACCTCAGCTGAAACAGATTATAAGATATACATTGATTGAAGGAACTTGTAAAAATAAGATGCGTTGAAGATTCGAACATAAGCTCCATTCCTTGCAGATATCCCAGTATTTGTAATTCTCACCTGTAATGCGACTGGACTTTCATTTATGACATCAGATGCTTCTTTTAGAGCTCTGGAAGCCTTCATTTCTCCTTCGGCTGCTATAACTTTCGCTCTAGCTTCCCTTGAGGCTTCTGCCTCAGCAGCCATTGCTCTTTGGAGTTGTTGAGGCAGGCTCACGTCTTTTCTAGAAGGCCAGTTATTTTTATTAGGTCTAATGAAGTTCAACGATGAAATAGGTATTTTTCAGGTAAAAGAAAACTTGAGATGTTAGGTACGAGGGCGCTCCGATAAATACTTAATATCATAGCCAAATGACGCCACTATCGCGTAGTACATTCGTATAGACGGCTACTATCAAAATGTTTGCTGAATCGGACTCGTAGTTTTGCTTTGATCGCACGTGGAAGCGGGCGTGTCTGCGGATTTTATAAAAATGGAAACAGACCGATATCGGTCGATGATTCGATTTTTGTTTTTTGGGGAATCGCACAGTGAAATCAAAGAGCGCTTGGATGCCATGTACAGTGATTCTTCTCTTTCGATGGCGACCGTCAAAAATTGGTTTAACGAGTTTCAACGTGGTCGCAGTATTGGCCGACCGCCGATTGAAGGTGCGCGTGATTGCTGAGACAGTAGGCATCTGAAAAGACCGCGTGGATCATATCTTGAAAATATTGGGCATGAGAAATCTGTCTGTCCGCTCTATGGGTGCCGCGTTTGCTTCTTCCGGACAACAAGCGCAACCGTCAGACCACTTTAGAGCGTGTTTAAGCGCCATCCGAAGCATTTTTATGTCGTCTCGTGACCGTCGATGAAACATGGATCCACTGGTACACACTAGAGATCCAGGACCAGTCCGAAGAAAAGAACGCGAAGACTGTCCTATCGGCCGGAAAGTTGATGGCCACCTGTTTCTGGGATTCACAAGGTGTGATCTACATCAACTAGCTGGATAAGCACATAACGCTCACAGGGCTCTACTATGCCGAATTACAGAAAAAACGGCCCCATTTAGCGAAGAAAAAAGTGCTCTTCCACCATCACAACGCACCAACTTACACCTCCGCCGTTGTCACGGCCAAATTAGGCTATGAGCTGCTGTCCCATCCACCATATTCTCCAGATTTGGCCCCGTGCGACATCTTTTTGTTCCAAATTTGAAAGTCGATCGTCGGGTAAAAATTTCCAGAAAACGTATTTTTCAGTCGCGTTAAAGAAGTTGGAGCATCGCTGGGTCAAGGATAGCGAGCTAAAAGGAGATTATGTTGAGAAATAAATCGCCACTTTTCCAAAATATTCGTTTTCCTTTTGTAGGCTAAGTAGTTATCGAACCGTCCTCTTATTTCACAATAAGTGCATGGCTCAATATAGGCGTATTTTTTAATTCACCGGTTGAGCTACCGGTGCAACCATTTATCCAATTTTACTTCCTTTAATTTTTGTCTGAGCGACCGGTTGTACACCAAAATTGTCTATAAAGTATATAGACAAGTTTATTGTACAACCTGTCGCTCAGACGGAAATTAAAGGAAGTAAAATTGAATAATTGGTTGCACCGGTAGCTCAACCGGTGAATTAAAAAATACGCTTTATGCCATATCATACCAGCATCATATCCAATACACGTACCAGCGTAGCAACCGCGTTCTATAGTAGTCCAAACGCGTTTGAACCGCGGCTACCGACGTCGATTATCATCTACGGCGCGTACCATCATCACGCAAAATTACGTTACGTCCATGATGTGTTACAATCCTAGTTGATACTGTATAGTGTATGATGGTGAAGGAGCTTTATATAAGCAGTAAATAAAAATATTTCTAACATTTCCACCCTCTCTACTTTGACACCCCATGGGTCTGTTGCAACGTCCAGTGATGTTTGCATGGCGTGCGATATCGCTTCTCGATCTGACAGAATCTCTGCTAGGTTTCTTGTACCTAAGATGTTCCTGAGAGTAGTCATGGCTAGTAATCTTGTCGAATTGCTGAAATAAAATACGGTGTCAGACCGGGCTGTCTAGAATCAAATTGTTTTGAAACAAAATGTTTCATCTGCTGGTCCGCTGCAGAAATATTAAAACGTCGGAATAAGACAGCGCAAAGGGCCATATATCAGGTCAGAATCGACCTCTGCGGAAGGCGCATACCTGCTATTAGTTGGATCTCGGCTCGCGTTTAATAGCAATGTCACCACATGACCGTTAGATGGCGGACGATTATGGCTGATGAGTAGCAAAAAAAGCATCGTGTTTGGTTTAAATTTAAACATTTGCACCCTCAAACACAGCTTGAACGTTTCTGTTTCAACTTTTCCGTTAGTTTTTTTTACTTTTAATTTAACAGTGACCACGTTCTGCCGTAAAGTTATTCCATGCTCTTTCATTTCAAAACGTAAAAATTAATATTTTATAGTTGGCCTTGAAAACTATTCGCCTATTCAGCATGTGTTTAGTTTATGCAACTGTTGCCGTACGGAAGGGTCGGTAGTACCGCAATTGGCGATACTGATAGGTGGCGGGGGTCATCTGTGTTTTATATTTACTCCCTACGCCACTGGGCGAGAAAGTATTGTAATTGCGAAAAATTTCGAAAATGATATTATAGATATGTTTTTTGGATGTTATATGACATGTACGAGTATATCACGAAAAACCATGTCACTCATTTCGGTCGGCCTGTCCGCTAATCTTATAACCGCCTATAACTTGAGAAACACCGCGCAGATCTCGAGGAGATGCTTACACAAATTACTACTATGCCAAGGACGTAAAAGCTCTGTAGTTTTTGAAAATCGGTCCAGAGGCGGCAGAACAAAAGGTTAAAAACTAAAAAATAAAAGTCACCCAAACTTTTTGTTTTTGACGTTATAGAGGGTCATTTTCAGAAAAAAAATGTGGGGGTTGAAATTCAAGGGTTGAGGGTTGTAGGGGGTGGGGGAGGGTATATGAAATTTTTTGATTTTAGTATATACGCTCCCAACCCAGGCAATTCTATGCACCTATTAGCCATCATATTGTACACATCATAGATTTACCCATACATTAGTTTTTAATCCGCACACCACCTGGCGAACCAGCAGCTTATATACATATGTATCCGTACTGAAGCACAAAAAACATACGGACCCTGCACGAAACGAAAAATAGGTAACTTGCGAACGTTGTCACATGGTAACTACCAGTAGGGCAGGGAAAGAATGTCTTTGGACATTGTGTGGGTCCGTTTGGCTGCCTCGATATCTACGTTTAATTTCTCTGTTACTCAATTTTTTCTCAGAGGAGTTAAATCGCACTGGACTTAATCCTTTATGAGCTGGTGTAGGAAGTGCAGAGTCAACCCACTTGACGTCCTTTTTCGTTGTTTAGTGATATTGTTGCAAGACAAATCGATCGCACGATTGCGCCCACATTCTTTTAAAATCATTATTTTGACTGACTTGTATTTGCTGAAGCTAGATACACATTTCAAGAAAGAAAAATGTATGCTGCATATTGCAGTCGGCTCACATTATGTTAGCCTACCTATAATTTGTCACCTTGACGACTGCATTCAATGGATCTTGGATTCTATAATAGACAACTGCATCGACTGTGACAGTCACAGAATCCTTCGTTAGCGCCTGCAAAAAAAAATTACCTACTCATTACTTGATAAAAAGCTCGAAAATACCGTGAGCATTCGTCAGCATTCCACCAACTTACGATAGTATGAGTTCTGTACATTAAGTCATGAGACTGGTTTTTTAAAATTTCTATATTCAAATTATATATAATTACAATTTTATATTGTCATCCTCAAAATAACTTCCTTCTGAAACCACACAACGCTGGAGACTCCTCATAGCAGTGCTAGAACTCCGATACTGGAATAGCCTTCAGCTGGTCGGTTACAGGCGTTTGAATGTTTTCGACTGTCCTCCAAATGACTCGAGTGAGTTCAAACTTGTACTGAAGGCAGATCACATGTTCCCCTGTCTCCCCTTCAAGCCCGGCACCTCCAGTGTTGCCAGATCGAGCACTACGTTGCCAGTCTCATCACTTAATTTATAGACCTCGTATCTAAGTTCTGGTATCCCAGGGATGCCACAATATGCGGGGGGAGAAACATCTTTACTGGAGTTTTAAGGGCGTGCCGTGAGATAGCACATTGGAAGGCGTCAGAACGCCGCAGCATCCTCAGGCTATACAGAAAAACGTGGCAATATTTCTAGGGTAGAAAGTACATTCAAAAATAACATAAAAGTTTCTATCAGCAAGTCCTAAACTGTCCCGCTACAACTCCAAGATGCAGGGTGATGTAAATTTCTATGCCACTGATGAGACTGGATAAGAACACAAAACACAAACATTGTCCGAATAATGCTATGGTGAGATACGATTACTCTCCTAATACACTACGTTCAATTTCGAAGTTGGGTTGGAGTGTTTTATACTGATTTTACCACAAATATTCAAACCAGTTTTTCTCCAAAAGGAGCAGTCAGACAAAATTTCTCAAGAGAGGAGATTCATATGCAAAAACCTTGAAAACTTTATTCAAAAATGCAATAAATGTTTCAAGTAGTGGTATGTCAAATAATGTTCTTTTTTCTTCTGAAAGTGCTAAAATTTCCATTTTTGATGATATGATTCAGTACTACCAACGATAGCACGACACATTAAATATTTATTCAATATTTAATAATATTTTTATCTTACTTAAATATTTGTTATCTTAAAACAATAATTAATAAATATTTGGAATATTTATTAAATATTTATTCAATATCTTCTAAATATTTCAAATACAATATTTCTTTTATAGTATTTATTAAATATTTACTTTTCAATCAATGGAAAATATTAAATTTCCATTATTTAGAAAATATTCATTATATATTTTCGGCTACGTGGCATATGCATGTGACCCCGAGCGACCAATGACATATTGGCAAGCTGACCTGAGCCGACCCGTTTGCCGGCATCCATTTTGCCTGTGAGTTTCACTATTATGGTAGCGTGCTTCCTGTGTACCTCTAAGTGGTACATTATTTGAGTGTTTTTTTGTGGAAAATGGTAAGTTTTTCGATAATTACACATAGCTTAATTTATCTGACTAGTAGATAAACATTGTTGTGTCAGTTGAGTGTAAAGGTATTTATAAGACCATAAATAACTAGCCTTGAAGTGTAACAGTTATTTACTATTTGGGTCTGGTGGATTTATCTCAAAATGTATACGAAAACGCTTTTTTAAATATCTCAATTATTATTATTATTATTTTTGTCTTAGTATGGGACAAATCAGCTGTAACTATTTTAAAATTTATAAGTTCAACAGTGACGTTCCAAAATTTTAACAGTCGAAAATAAAATATTTTTGTCCCTTGAATTATAATATAAATCACAAAATAGTTATGGCTAAATTAACCCCTTACCACTGCAAAAAGTCGCATTTCAACAAAATCAATAAGTGGCCCATATTTAAAACCTTTTCTTTGACAGTTTCAAATGGACATTTTTCATTAAGATATCCAAAATAACATAAAATTTTCTTAAAAATTAACCAAATCTCGAACTCTCATAGGAAGATAATGTGGGATCCTTTTAGGTACATTAAAGAGTTGCTTTCAGTGAGCCAATTGAGCTACTTGGAGTAACTCAGCAGTGCTCAGCACCAATATTGTCCACTGCATTTTATATTTCCATAAATACCACCTTCTAGCGTAGTTTGGGAGAATATCTCACTCAAACAAAAGACTACAGAAAAGCAGCTTATGTATTAAATAATACTTCATAATTAGTAAGTCTGTTTTTCTTTTCAGAGGAGTGGCTCTGCAAGATGCAGAAGAGGCTTAGAATGTTTCTTAATGATATTTTCCTAGCAATTAAACTATTATATCTAGAATGAATTTTATTTATAAACCAATTTTATAAAAGCATTCCTATAGATTCTGCTAAAATAACCAATGAAGAATTTCTATATACAATGAAAATATGTGTCAGATTAAAATTGATATTTAAAAATCTTTCCTCATATATTTACTAATATTTGGAAAAGATATCGCGGAAATATATAAATTATATATACCACAAATATCTATAATGAATATTTTATGAATATATAAGAAATATATTTATTAAATATGAAAAAATCTGCAGCTAAAAATATTTAACAAATATTTTTTTAAAATATTTAACAAATATTTAATGCTATCGGGGTCTTCAAAATTTCAAGTCAATATTTAATACACTCCTAAGACATACGATTTTGTCGATTTAGAAATTATAGTTTCAAGGGGATATTTAGGGCCCATAATTATATGAACTTTTTGTGTTGTTATTGTATTAACTTAATGCCCTAAAGTGTCACACGCTGTAGAAGCTGGCAAATGCTCGCGGTATCGCTGACGATTTTCTGAATCAGCTCTTCTGCAGGCAAAATGATTTTCGACGTTCTCCTGCCATCTCTTATAGTATATACTAGCTCCTAACAAACTGGAATAGTGCGATCGAATAGTACAAGTTGTACAACAGTTTCACAATAAAAACAATGGAGAATAAGTCGTAAGGCGTTTCATTTTGATTTGAAAAGCATCGTCAGCTAACTACGTCCTAATATGAATCAAAAACCAATAGTCCTTGAATATAATATATAATATCTTCCGTGTCTAGCTGTTGTTTTTTATGCACTTGAACTTTCTTTTTCCAATTTCATTTCCTTCTCTCTTTCTTAGAAGGATATGGCTTCTCTGGTGATAGCATTCGCACTTTGGGTGAGGAAAACCACTAGAAGGCCTGAACCGTCACCGTCAAAAGGTCCTTAGTTATGCCATGCCTTAAAATATTCCCCTAAAGTGTTGTTCAAGTATTACGTAAGCAGTTTTTTCACAATTATTAATCCCCCTTCCCCTTGACAGCAATGTGAGCAAATCTCTTACCTAAACCGGCCTCCCTCCCATGATTACGAAAACATTTTGGTAAATTTTACAATTTGAAGCAAGTATAGACTTTCACGCACATGTTCTGAATCCCAGTTAATGTCTGGATAATCAGGAAGATCTGGCTCGCCCGAGCCGTCATAATTTGCAGTAACATAATCATCAATTTCCATTGAACATATACATTTCCGGAAAACTCGAAATTAGATCTATCTAAATGTTCATTAATTGCAACGCCACGTTCATCCAAATGATACCAAAAATGGTCACGAAGCAGTATCAATCCAGTCAGTTCTAAGACGAGATGAACCATTCTGCGCTCTACTCGGTTATACGCATATCTACCAGGAGCATTTATACAAGTTCTAAGCGAATAAAGCATATCCATATTTGAGAAATCCCTGAAGGTGCGTTTCGTTTTCGAGCATAGACAAGCAGAGTTGCCATATGCGTTCAAATCAAAATTGACTAAATCTTGTATAAATTTCGAAAAAGTAAAAAAATAAATATTGCTGGCGTAGCCCCCCATCCCCCATGTCATCAAAAATGAGTAAAGCGACTACCCCTCCGTCCTGCTTCAGTGCTTATGTAATACCTAAATGGTCCTGATTGAGGGGAAAGACAATGAAAATATTAAAGCAATTGCTCAAAAAATAATATAGCTAGGCATTTTTTTTATACTCCAACTACCACGAAGGCCTAAGGCCTAAGCACCCATTGGGTACCGTGGGGCTATAGGGGGATACATGGGAAAGGGGGGACGCCACACGGACTCTGGCGAGGGAACACGTGTGCATGCAACATGCACACATTCTGGCTCCGCCTACGAGAACCGCCGGGTGGTACCTCCGCGTTCGACAGTCAGAGACCATCTACCACCTACGGACAATCACAACATCCATAGCCAAGAGAAAATTTCTCCTGGGACGGGACTCGAACCCGCACAGCGCACGGCGACTGATCAGGAGACCGAAGAGTCTACTACTGCGGCCACCGCTGCTGCCTAACATGTTCAAGGATATTATTAGGTTTGTATTTATGGTAGGACTTAGCTAGTTCGCACATATAATCTGGATCAATGTCAATGACAGTCCGACGATGCGTTTAAAATAAAAGTGACACGCGTTACGACTTCTGCAGTATTTAATTGTAAAACTTGTACAACTAATTGTACTATTGGGCCGCATGATGGAACAATTTCACACGAGTAAAGCACCTACAATCTACAAAAAACCTGGATAGTTTAAGTATGTAATGGTGAATTTTGGCGATAGCAAACCTCTTGAGGCGGTACATCGAAAGATACTGTTCTTAAATCCACCTTGCAATAACTGTCCAAACATGGTAAGACAAAAAATATTCCTGGTCCTCTAGCTCCGCCTTCCTCAATCTTCCCAGTCGAAAAATGACCGCCCTCTCATATTCCTGCACTACCTACAAATTATTATATGTATTACAAAAAACAGTAATTCCCGCTAATTTACGTTCATATCAATCATTTCTCATTTTATCTGCTTGTTTAGCGGTCACGCAATCTCAGGAACCGCTGCATCGATTTTGATGCAATCGTGAAATCAGTAAAGATTATCTATTCTATACTAACCTTGAAACACCAGAACAGCGAAAATGGTAAAGTAACTAGTAGTAACAGTACTGAACCGATTGTTACTATGACCTCTATGAAGCTCATAGTATTTGGTTTTTCTGAAATAAAATGAAATTTTGAAGTTCTTTGAGTGAAGAATTGTTGCAAAATTATTTGAAGTGAATACTGTCTGTACAAAAATTCCTGCTGCCGCTATTAGCAATCAGAACTGTATTCATGCTTGTACAGGAAATGCAAGATAAGACTTGCATTATTATTGATAATCATCTACAAATACTTTTATAGCTTTTAATTTCCGTGAGAGCTAGATAAGAGATAAAAAAGTGCATGTGATGGCTTCATCGCTAAAACTATAGTTAAATTATTTCTCTTTAGCGTCATTTTTAAAAATTTAGTAACTTCCTTTATGGACGCGTTTTCAACAGGGTCTTCAAAATCTTGATAACAGGCATGTCTCTGTTTTATCTTATCAGTAGTAACGCTTCAAATTAACAGTAGTTCTTTACATAAAATGTGTTGTGTTAAGCGATTTATCATTAAAACTTACGATACTCAAAAAAACACTCGAATCCGCCGCTTTCAGTCCTGTGAAGTCCACCTTTCATCTACTAGATAACAAAGACTGCGTTTTCAGCACAAATCAAAAATGTTTGACTACTCGCGCAGGCGATGGGCTGCTGCGAAAGAAGTCACGTATTGCAAAGTTTATGTTACGCGGTTAAATTCAACTGGGAAAGACGACTGGCAGATGTGTTGCGGAATTATGATGGAGTGTGAGAAAATCAGAGCCAGAGATACGAGGGAAGTCGATTTCATTTTACAAATTGTTACGCGAGATGATAAGTATTTGCGTATTAAGAAAGCAAATTAGTAACTTCGTCGATTGAGAAATACGAAAATAAACCGATGCGAATAGATTGCGCTTCAATTGCACATCATACTTTACCTTAGGTTACACCTGAGTGAGCTCTTGTGAAAAGAATGTCAAACATTTACAATAAGAAAAACGAGTGCACATAAGTCATGAATCCCAAAGGAAATTAAAAATTGTTATTTCAAAATTCCTCCATTGACTAAAAACATTGATCGAGGAGGGTACACTTCATTTGTTTTTGACTTGCACACAATTCAGCTTTTTTTTTTTTTTATATCGAAACAGCCGCGCAGGCAGAAGCCTAAATGCCGGAACACCGCGGCTGCTATGATGATCCCAAAGAAATTTTGTTAATACGATTTTTGAACTGCCTAAGGTTAGTAGAACTGGGAAAAGCTTCCTCCCGTAGTTTGTTCCACAATCTAGACACCCTCGGGACAAAGGAGCGGTCGTATCGGCCAGTTCTGGATGTACGAAGTTTGACACGGTTAGGATGGGACGCCGGAGTCAGGCGGGTCTGTCTGGCAGGCACATCGCGCGGCGGCATCATGGAAGAGAGCTCTGAGGAGCAAAGCCCGTTGGTGTAGCGATAGAAAAGAGCTAGATCGCCGACGGCCCGCCGGTGCGAAAGAGTCCCGAGACTGTCTGTTAGAGAAGAGTCATCGATCAGTCGGACCGCCCTCCTCTGGACAGCATCGAGCATGGACAATGTAGTCGGGGCGGCAGCACCCCAAATGTGTGAGCAATACTCGAGGCTAGGCCTTATCTGGGCCTTGTATAGAGTGAGAAGGTCATGCGGAGAAAAGTACTTCTTAGCCCTAAACAAATAGCCTAGCTTTTTCCCAGCAGCTGCAGCTATTGAAGAGATGTGTTCGTGCCAGATCAGGTCCTCGGTGATCTGGACTCCGACCAGCCGAAATGAATGGCTCTTTGGTAGGACTCGACCGTCCATCGAAACTGTGTGAGCGCTAGGACGCTTTTTGTTCGTCAAAGTACAGTACTGTGTTTTGGAAGCATTGAACTGTACAAGATTGTTGCGTCCCCAAGCAGTGATAGCCTCCAGGTCTCTTGTCAGAGAAGAAGTCGTCGCTAGTCTTCTTTTTTCCAGCTCAGCGGCAGAGATCGGCTTGTCACTCTGAATTCCTGCATGTAGAGTGCTGTCATCAGCGAAGCTGTGGATTGGGTTGATCGTGCAGGAAAGGAGGGTCGTTGATATGTAAGAGAAACAGTGTCGGAGCCAAGACCGACCCCTGGGGAACACCCGCGTTGACGTCGTGGGATGAAGATGAGAGTCCGTCAATTACGACGGATATCTTGCGACCAGAGATAAAGTCAGCCACCCATCTGCAAAGCTTTTCTGGGAGGCCGTAGGATGGAAGTTTGCTCAAGAGGGCAGCGTGCCACAGCTGATCGAACGCTTTCGTGATGTCAAGAGCAACGACATGAGCCTCACCATGAGACTGGATGAGTTTACTCCACAGTTGCGTGACGTAAGCTAGGAGGTCCCCTGTGGATCGTTGGTGCCGGAAACCGTACTGCCTGTCGCTAATCAAGCTGTGACGTTCGAGGTAGTCCAGAAGCTCGCGATTTATGCACCTCTCCATCACTTTACTTATAACAGAAAGCAGAGCTATAGACCTGTAGTTGTAAGGGTCGGTTTTAGATCCTTTTTTTGGGATGGGCTGTACATGAGCAAATTTCCAGTTTTCTGGGAAGGTGCCGGATTCATAAGATATCTGGAAGAGTCGCGAAAGAACTGGAGCAAGCTCAGCTGCACATCTCTTCAGTACAATGGCAGGAATCAAGTCCGGACCAGAAGCTTTGTTGATTTCGAGCGACAAGAGCACTCGTCTTACGGTCTTATGCCTGAATGTTACCTCCCGCATAGTGTGGGGAACCCTTTGAATTGACGGCACTTGGGCGTTGGTGGGGACGTCCATGGTGGAGTTGGCAGCAAAGATCTTGGCTAGCACTTCCGCCTTGGCCTTTGAGTCGAATACAATAGTTCCATCCTGACACGTAAGTGGTGGAAGGCTACTGTGTGAGAAGTTCTTTTCAATCTGCTTGGCCAGCGTCCAGAAAGACCGACTGCCATTGCGCTGCGACATTACCCTGTGCCTAACTTTTATATCATGCTGGGTTTTGGCATTGCGAACCGCTTCGTTATATTTGTTTCTGGACTCGACGTCGGCTTGTCTGTTCTCTACAGTGGGGTTTTGTAAGTAGGTTCTGTGGGCCTTGGTCTTCTGCTGGCGAGCAGTGTCACACGATTTGTTGAACCAGCCGTTGGACCCTGGTTTAGGAACTTTCACTGTGTGAGGGATGTATTCCTCCATTCCGACGTGGATAATTTCGGTTATTGAAGAACAGACAGTCGACGCATCCGCGTCAGTGAAACAGACATCTCTCCAAGGAAAGCTAGAGAAGAAGTCTCTGAGCCCCTCCCAGTCGGCATGTCCGTAATGCCAAGTTTTGCGGCCTGTGCGAGTTTCTGCGGCCACAGCGGCTTCTGACCGAAACCTAACCTCCACAACACCGTGATCTGAGTTACCCAGGGGGGACAGGACGGCAGTGCTGTAAGGGGCAGGATGCGTGGTCAGAAAGAGATCCAGCAGGCTACTGGCGTGTGACGAGACGCGGGGGAAAAAAGTAGGGCTCGTCACGAGCTGGGTCAGCCCTTGAGTAACAGCGAACGCTTCGACTGCACGACCTGCTGCATCGGTCTTATTTGAGCCCAACCAAAGCTCATTATGGGCATTGAAATCACCGAGAAGAACTACCTCTGAAGCGGGGTGATTGATGTTCAGGAAGTCGATCTGGACGGCGAGGTATTCGAGTAGGTCATCCCAGTTATGGTTCGAGGGAGAGCGATAAAGGCAGCAAATAAATTTGGGTGATGTTTTGGAGTTGAGGCGAAGCCATAGAATGTCCTTCCGGTCTGATTCCAAAGAGAGATCCCTGGAGCAAAGCGGACAAAAGCCACAACTCCCCCGTTCTTCCTCAGATTGGAGTGCACCTCGTAGTTTGGGTAGTTGAGATGGTTAATCGGTGCAGCCTCTGAGATTTTTGTCTCCGCCAAGAAAAGCACGGCGGGACGATTGGATTGCAGGTAGTGATGAACAGCATCAATGTTGCTGTTGATCCCGCAGATGTTCGAAAAACAAATTTTATCTTCGATGTTGTTCCCTCGAGCCCACCCTCCACCCGGACATTCCGAGAGTGGAGTGAGTTTACGTCCGGAGTTTTTAGTGCTCGAGGGGTCCATCATCATTAATTTCTTTGTTTTGGTAGATAACCGACTGCATAGCTTAGGTGTGGAAACATGCGGACATTTATAAGACACCCTGGGAAAAGCTAGCGGGTGGTACTGCCTCGGTCGACTGGTCCTTGTCTACCACCTTCTTTTTACGTATTAGTGATGTTAAATAGACCTAAAGTGGCCCGTTGGCGGACTTGTACCGCCACCCGGCAATCGGTACTGAGGTATTCCTTAACGCGTGCGCAATCACTTGGACGGGAAGAAGTTGTATACTGGATACAACGACTTCCGGAACAAGCATTTGCCACGGCCCTCGCTCAGTAGCTCACGGATGGTCTGAGATAGCTTGCTGTAAAAAATTAGTACATTCAATGAGTTTATGGCAGACATGTATATCTAGTCCATAACGTGGCAATCTCAGTGTTCCATCCTGTCTTGTATTATGAATGTGGATTTCTGATTGGGTTGTGTAGCGGTTTAAGTTTTCATGGATGTGTAGCAAAGTGTAAAGTATGTAGGTACATGGCAACAGCAGTATCTCCAATATTTGGAAGAGAAGTTTGCAGTGCTGACAGAACCTAGCACCTGCTCTAAACCTCACTACGCGTTTTTGTATTTTGAATGCACGCACAATGTGACATGATCCTCCCCAAATCATGATGCCATAGATCAGATGAGACTGAAAAATGCCGAATATGCGCTGAAAGTTCTTTACATAAAGATTCTACATGAGCCTCCCATTTGAGATCACTATCAATTTTAATGCCAAGATGAGAAACTGCTTCATTTTCATTTAATGGATTGTTTACCGACATAATGATCTTTTGAGTTTTGTCTCTATTAAGTTTTAAGCAGTTCGCCGCAAACCTACTTTGAATTGAGTGTCTATAAGTGTTTGAAATGAGCACATTTTTGTCGTCGGGCGATTGAACTAAGGTAGTCTCGTCATCAAAACACGCTTTTTTTTGGTGATAAATAATGGAAGATGTCATTCAAATATATCACGAACAGTAAAGACCCTAAAATAGAGCATTGCAGTACACTATATGTTATTCTGTTGATCTATAGTTTCAATCTTCGCCATCCACAGAAACTTATTTAACAACGATTTACCAAATAAGAATGGAAAAGTTCAAAGAGTGTCCACGAATACCGTAAAATTCTATTTTTTCTAGCAGTATTTTATGCACACACAGTCAAAGGCTTTTGGGTTATCACAAAGCGTCCAAGACGGGAGTTTGTACTCCTCAAAACATCGATGGCACACCGCACAACCTACGCAAGAGCATGTCTAGTAGAGCGTTTATGCCGAAATCCAAAATGTTTTTTATTCAGTATGCTGATGTCAAAGAAGGACTTTTAAACGTTTTTTGATCAGTATTTCGAATAATTTAGCAATTATAGGAATTATAGAGGTAGGTCTATAATTTTCTAGGCTTGTGTACAGGAATTGCGTCACTTATTTTAAATGCATCTGGAAATATACTTTTAGAAAAACATACATTAAACAGGTGAGATAATGGCTCCACCAATACATCAAATGAAAGCTTTGAAATTTCGCGATTTAGGTCATGTATACACTCCGAAACTTTTAGCAACTTAATGGCCTCAGCTATTTCATTTTGGGTGA